TTATGTTAATCTTTTGCAATTCATCTTAATAATAAACAAAACTCGCAAATTGTCCCAACTTAATGAAAACATAGTCTAAACGTGAATTTGTAGTAAACTTTATTCGTCATATTGCAACGCAATTTCTGCGCATTGATTATCATTGGTCACATTCTGCATACAGGGGAACAATGGTACAATTGTGAAAAGGCCTAGAAAATTCCTAATACAGTAATTACGTCATTGATTAAGCCACTGGTGTATTATATAGATCACATCGCGCAGCAGCATTTTCCATCGAAACCAAAACAAACGAAAAAATGGCGACTGTTGAAGAAACGAAAGGAATGTTGAAGGACGCGAAGGAGCAGCTGTTGAAGGCAGAGACGGCGTTGGCGAACTTCGAGGGGGACGAGGACGAGGGGAAGTTGCTGAAGGCATTGCGGGGGAGCTCGGGGAGGGGAGAAGTGTTAACTGCGGATCAGCGGCAGCTATTGGTGGATCTCACAGCGGAGAAGAAGAAGTTGGAGGCGGAGAAGGCAAAGCGCATAGCACAAGTGGAAGAACTGCAGCGAGCCCTCACGGCAGCGACAGCTCAGCCAGGTAACGACTTTGTGACTCGGGCGTTGGGGACATAGAGTAGTGTAATATGATTTTCTTATTACGAGTTTGTTGGGTGCTAATTTATGATTCTCAATGTTGAATCACATAACCTAATTTATTGTCCCTTTCGTATTTCAAGTTTCTCATTTTAAAGACCTCTCACCCTCGCGTTCGGCTTCTGTGATGGGTTCTACCATCAAGAAACATCCAAACTATCTAACTCTCGAAAATTGTGAGTTTTTGGATGAGCTCACATCCGAAGAAATACGCACCATTAAAAAAAAATATGCCCATCTTAATAAGAATTCACCAAACCGTAATAACGATTGGAAAAGGGAAACCCAAGATGTGCACCCTTGGGTTCAGGAGGTTTACAAATCTTTGGCGGAAATATGGAACCTTGCCATTATCCAGGATAAACATAATGGTGGTCCTAGTGGTAGCATCTATGCGGATCATTACCTCACATACCCGTTGTATAAGGATTTATACACTAAAACAGAAATCGATTGGATAAGATGCTACGCATTTGAAGACAAATTGAGATTGTCGGAGTCCGCCCTAAACGAAGCAATGGTTCAATG